CTTAAACAACAATTTCGCATTTTTATCTTCATTCAACAAATACATATTTATTAAAATTATATTTAATTAAAATGCCGTCTAGATTTTGAAATGTCTGCAATTTAAATGTGAACAAAAAATGGGTGCGAATGTTTAATTTACATACGTAAATAAACATTCGTTGGTAAGTTTATCCATCTTTTAAACCACAATCCGCTTTAGCTTTTAAGTGTTGCCACAAAACACTTACTTAAAAACTACTTTTTGGGTATACTGGTGTCTGTTGTATTTTATTTTATTTTTCTGTAAAAACAACTGTGTTTTAAATTTAAAATAATGAAATTATTTATGCGTTTTAATATTTGCACCATAGTCTGTGGTAGTATAGAAATACACACAAAGAAAAGTTGCGATTTTTATATTCCGGCTTGAAGTTTACGGTTAATTCTACAATAAACATAGGAACATAAACATATACCGATATCGCTACAACTTTCAAGTGTACTCGCATACACTTTTTAAGCGTTTTTTTTATTTGAACATACGAGTTACCATATTTACGAGATGATAGTCTTTGCCCAAAGAGACAAAAATCCATTTACTTTTGAATTTTATTTATTTTTTTTGTTATAGAACATGGTCCTGGTTAAATGACAGGGCCAGACATAAATATTTGCATAGACAAGAGAGAAAGAAATAAATATGTTTTATTTGTTTGTTTGCAATACATTAAATACTCGTACTTTTCAAGTCAAAACTCTCATAAAATAGTAAGAGTAAATGTGTGAATATATCGTCACAAGAAATGCAAATGGAACTAAATAAACAAAAATTAAAAATCTATACTGTTATAAAGATCCTCCGTACTAAGCTAACAATTTCTCCTAAAAACTAATTAAAACATAAGTTGGAGTGCTTTACATTTCAGCTAACGTTATGCAAGTACATGCTAGTAATTGTGGTAGTAAGTATAGTAACATCCTCACTCTAGCAACAACCAAACAAAAAAAAAACTGTTCCCAATGTAAATTATTTGTATTTGTTGTAATATTCCCCATCATCAACAACAAAAAACCGAGCAACCATCAGACACAAAAAACATTGTTGTATGGCTTTACGTTGATTTACGATTTGCTTTTATTTGTTGTCCCGCCATTCAACCACATGCACTTACACCCCAAAAATACTCACTATTGAATTCCTCCTCTCTTTGCCCCTACAAACTTCAGATGCTATCATACGACTACAGAGTCACTCATACAAACACCAGCAGATTACAAAACATTTCTATAGATTTTAAAATCGGTAGAGTCTACGTTTTGTACGAATATGGTTGGGTACCTTCATGTAACCTTGTCCGTCTGGAAATTGTTTTGTTTATACACGAGTACGAGCATGAGTACAAATAAAAACAAAAACTAATTGCCAAAAAAATTACAACAACTACTATTCAAATATGTCGTCTCATAGGTAGGAGAGTAGAATGTTAAAGCTGATATGTTTGATGTTGGTGGGGTAAGGAGAGGTTCTATAATTGCAAATTATTAACCGCACATTGTTAACAAGTTACGAAGGTTTATTGATAAGTACTTGATCAGGGTAAGAAATAAATAATGAATTTATCTAATTATGAAACATTGACCATCTCTGAGCATGTAGCTCAGATGCCGTTGGAAATGTTAGGTTCTGTTAGGTTTTCCAGGTTGTTATAACATACAGAGAGGGTCCAGAAGATTCATTCGTGTTTGCTTGTAAGAAGAGATAAAGTAGCTTGTAACAGTGTGGCCTCCGGTAAGTTAGTTTGGTAGTCTGTTAGACTGGAGGTTGTGAGTCGATTCCCACCTGATGTATTGATAAGGGCAACAACTAACTAACTAACGAACGAACTAAACGAACGAACGAACGAACGAACGAACGAACGAACGAACGAAAACGAAGACGAACGAACGAACGAACGAACGAACGAACGAACGAACGAACGAAACGAACGAACGAACGAACGAACGAACGAACGAACGAACGAACGAACGAACGAACGAACGAACGAACGAACGAACGAACGAACGAACGAACGAAGAACGAACGAACGAACGAACGAACGAACGAACGAACGAACGAACGAACGAACGAACGAACGAACGAACGAAACGAACGAAAGAACGAAGAACGAACGAACGAACGAACGAACGAACGAACGAACGAAAGAACGAACGAACAACGAACGAACGACGAAACGAACGAACGAACGAACGAAACGAACGAACGAACGAACGAAACGAACGAACGAACGAACGAACGAAACGAACGAAAACGAACGAACGAACGAAACGAACGAACGAACGAACGAACGAACGAACGAACGAACGAACGAACGAAACGAACGAACGAACGAAAGAACGAACGAACGAACGAACGAACGAACGAACGGAACGAACGAACGAACGAACGAACGAACGAAAACGAACGAACGAACGAACGAACGAACGAACGAACGAACGAAAGAACGAACGAACGAACGAACGAAGAACGAACGAACGAACGAACGAACGAACGAACGAACGAACGAACGAACGAAACGAAGAACGAACGAACGAACGAACGAACAACGAACGAAGAACGAACGAACGAACGAACGAACGAACGAACGAACGAACGAACGAACGAAAAACGAACGAACGAACGAACGAACGAACGAACGAACGAACGAACAAAAGAACAACGAACGAACGAACGAACGAACGAACGAACGAACGAACGAAACGAAGAAAACAACGAACGAACGAACGAACGAACGAAGAAACGAACGAACGAACGAACGAACGAACGAACGAACGAACGAACGAACGAACGAACGAACTAACGAACGAACGAAACGAACGAAACGAACGAACGAACGAACGAAACGAACGAACGAACGAACGAACGAACGAACGAAACGAACGAACGAACGAACGAACGAACGAACGAACGAACGAACGAACGAACGAACGAACGAAACGAACGAACGAACGAACGAACGAACTAACGAACGAACGAACGAACGAACGAACGAAGAACGAACGAACGAACGAACGAACGAACGAACGAACGAACGAACGAACGAACGAACGAACGAACGAACGAACGAACGAACGAACGAACGAACGAACGAACGAACGAACGAACGAAGAACGAACGAACGAACGAACGAACGAACGAACGAACGAACGAACGAACGAACGAACGAACGAAGAACGAACGAACGAACGAACGAACGAACGAACGAACGAACGAACGAAACGAACGAACGAACGAACGAACGAACGAAACGAACGAACGAACGAACGAACGAACGAACAACGAACGAACGAACGAACGAACGAACGAACGAACGAACTAACGAACGAACGAACGAACGAACGAACGAACGAAAACGAACGAACGAACGAACGAACGAACGAACGAACGAACGAACGAACGAACGAACGAACGAACGAACGAACGAACGAAAACGAACGAACGAACGAACGAACGAACGAACGAACGAACGAACGAACGAACGAACGAACGAACGAACGAACGAACGAACGAACGAACGAAACGAACGAACGAACGAAAGAACGAACGAACGAACGAACGAACGAACGAAACTAACGAACGAACGAACGAACGAAGAACGAACGAACGAACGAACGAACGAACGAACGAACGAAGGAACGAACGAACGAACGAACGAACGAACGAACGAACGAACGAACGAACGAACGAACGAACGAACGAACGAACGAACGAACGAACGAAAACGAACGAACGAACGAACGAACGAACGAACGAACGAAGAACGAACGAACGAACGAACGAACGAAACGAACTAACGAACGAACGAACGAACGAAACTAACAACAAATAACGAACTAACGAACTAACGAACTAACTAACGAAACGAACTAACTAACTAACTAACTAACGAACTAACTAACGAACTAACTAACTAACTAACTAACTAACTAACTAACTAACTAACTAACTAACTAACTAACTAACTAACTAACTAACTAACTAACTAACTAACTAACTAACTAACTAACAGAAGTAATCGAGAAGAGGAACTGAACTTCGAAGAAGCGTACCCCTGTTAATCAGGATTATATCATCACACCCAGTAAGATGCATTCTAGAATGTAATTAGGCGTTCCAATTGAACGTTTGAAGAATTTTAGCTTTTATTGAATGTTTTCAATCTCAGAGACCAGCGTCTTACTTGACCTTTGCCGATTTATAATGTCGGGCTAAAGGACCTTTGGCAGCATCTAATGCATTGAAGGTTACCATGAGCAGGTCCTACGCATCGAGCTCATAAAAGCTTATTACCGGCTAAGATGTCAGAGTCGTCAGTCTTCCAAACCCGACATTAACGCCAAATATCAAACCTGTTCGTATTCATAGTAGTTTCAGTCCTACTCAAATCTGTATACTTTTAGACTTGCTAAAATATTTAGAAAACCCTTAGAAATGTTTGTACCCAGTGCTTAGTACAGTTTCTTTAATAGGACATTTGCATAAAAGTTTTGCAAGATAGCATGGGCTTAAAAGCTACCACTGTATCACATTTACTGTATTCATTAAACGATTAAAAATTCTAAGAAAGAAAGTTGTTGATAACTTTATGAATGATGGCCTACCAATTTAAAGATTATTTAAATAAATAACCTTTTTAAAGCTGAACATTAAAATGCTTTGTATTTAAATGAATAATTGAATATTAAATTTAATTTGTCTAGTCTACAAAACATTAACATTTGTTATGGTTCTCAAGAACTTTTCCAACAAAAAAAAAAAAAGATTCATATTTAAAGGCAATTTTTTAAGTTGGAATGTTAACAAATAATCATAATGGAATTTTCATAATTAATTTCTTTAGTAAATACAAGACAATTGTAATTTTAATTAAATAGTAAATAAACAAGAAACTAATTTACTTAAATTATTTCAAATTCAACTGTTTTATAATAAGTCTGTCTGTCTGTCTTCTCTACTTGCAGCGTTTCAAAGACAACGATATCGAGGTAAAACGAAAGGATGGCATCATACTCTTGCGTGAACTGGCAGCAGAGGTGAAAAACTTTATGGACTTTAAACGCAATGCAGTGATGGTAAGTTTGTTAAATAACAATTTCTTTGAATTCACTACTAAAAATTTAAATAATACTATAGAAACTTCAATAACTGTAAAACAATTTCCACAGCAATTATTGGGAAAAAGGAGAAGAACAACAAAGTTTTTTTTCTTCCTCCAACAGGAAACAAAATAAACGAACGAACACACTTACTCATAGAGAGAATACAAAAACAAAAAAAAAATTAAATTGAAAAAATAAAAGAAAAAGCGCCAAAAAAACTTTCTTCAAAACGGCCGTTGGCAAATTTAAATTAAAATAAAATTGAAATCAATAAAATATAAAATGTAGCAAAATTTTAATACGGAAAAAGGTGCCTACGGCCGTTTATCACACGAACCATTCATTCCACTTACAAAAATACAAAAAAAGCCTGTTACACAAAAATTGAACAGAAGAAGGAGAGAGCGGGAGTAGGAAGTGTTTTGTTAAAAAATGCTAGTAAGAGAGCTAAAGAAAAGGACAGTTTGGGCGTTTGGAGTAAATAGTATATATTGTCTTCTTGTTGATTTGGGGGGTGGTTGGATGTTGGTGGAAAGTTTTGTTGTATTTTCCTTGTGTTTCTCTTTTATATGTCATATTGTAGTGGGTTGTATAAAATTAAAAACTGTGACCCAATGACATAAAGGTTGTACAAATAATGATAAAAGATGATAAATATAGTAGAACCTGGTTGTACGGCTGATTTTCGTATTACAAACTTCAAACTGTTTATTTCTTTCAGAGTGACCTATCAGCGTCTCTTTGTGATCCTTAAGAAACACTCAAGTGACAATTTTTGCACATGGCAAACACCAGACCATGTACAAGCAGTTAGCTCAGTTACCTAATGTCGAGCTATCTAATTTCCGACTATCGCAGTACCATTGCTTTCTGTCTGGAAATCTTCAGATGCTATATGAAGCATTACTTGACTACAATCCTCAACCACGCTGCTGGAATGGAATGGATTCTGCAACAGCACCTAAAGGCGTAATTGAAAGACCGAAATGCAGTCTCCAAGACTTCATTCTTACTCACTTACCCTATTCTGGTATGAATAGGGTAATCCGTAAACAAACCTTGGCAAAGATGGAAAATTCAATGATGACATTTGAATAAGATTTAACATTTAACTCAAAATACAGCCCTTCCATCCGACATATTTAAGGGAGAATATCTAACACATTCATAAAAGCATACGGGTATGGCGAGGTCAGTAAACCCTTGATCCATTTTCACAGTCATTTCTCTGAGGAGAATCTGTTGTCTCGGCAACAACTCCAAACTTATTTCAAAATTTTGACTTTACGTGCATCAGTCTTTTAACCAACGTTTTCTTTCGGTTTAAGTTTTAACCTCAGACACTACGCGGACCCAGAGAATCCTTATAGCAACCTTTAGTGACTCGAACGATAATGGAATGTTCAGAAACTCAATCTCATAGACGAAGTTCCCCAGAATTTTTCGTTCAAAGTTTCTGATGGATGTTACTTAGGTTAGGTTTACTTCCTTATGTTACATTCCCATAAGGTCATGAGGCAAGAAAGGGACTACATAGTGCCTAAGCCGAATTATTATAAGACTTTTAAGATCAGAATATCAACAAGGGATGATTGGTTTGCGAACACTGTCCTAAAAGACATAAAGAAAGGCTCCGTAATTTTCTTCGATGATCCTGTCCCTTTGTTGTCTCTTCGACTACCCGATACTTGCATAGTCCTCCATTCAGAGGTAGATGCCCACGATACAGCCGCGATAAGAATCCGGGATCTGAATTTCGAAAATTGGACTAGACATATGCATCAATCAAATAACTCCAACGTTACTAAGTCGAAATGTATTTTCAAATGTATTCAATCATTGGCACAACTGATACAAAATCACGTCGAGTTGATATGGGTCTCAGTACATGAGGGCATCTGGGGAAATGAAGTATCTGATAACCCTAGACGTAACTCTTGGTCACATTCCTTGATGACCTTATCGAAATTGATAGATGAATGGGCTGTGAGTGCGACGGAGCTCAGGTGGTCAAATATAATCACTTGTAGAATATCCAAATTGCTTTGGTCTAGTCTGACAGAGGAGAGGTCTAAAACTCTTTGGTCTTTTAGTAAAAAATCGATTAGGCATCTCAGGGGTATAATCACTGAGAACTGTATGATTGGTTACCCACGTTATAGCTATTGTAGAAGTTTTTTAGATGAGGAGGAGGTGGACTCGGTGTAACAACTTCTATCTGACTTTCCAGGCTTACAAGAGCATAGACTATCATAGAAGTACCAGCTGGTTCTCACGGGGACCACAAGAATATGATTCCTGAAGAATATGATATGAGTCAATGAAACTAAGTAGTGGAACTACTTATCCCTTTATGTATAACATCTCAAAATAAGGTAATTGTATGTACAAGGGTACCACAATGGGTCGCTAGTAAACACGCTAACTTTCGAGCAACCCATAACCTAACCTACCTCCTCATATTCATCGTTACGTTTATAAAAGTGTTTATGAGTGATTCTCTCATATATAGCCCGTTCTATATGACATTTGTCAGGATAACTTTCTTTTAATGTTCTTCAAAATAATATAGTGATTTGGATTTCTAGATTCTAGTTTTACAGCGAAAGTCAATGACCTCTCTTGTACTCTTTCTTTCACCCATACGTACATACATATGTTCTTATTACAAACTTAACTTTGTAGCCGTCATTATAGGCTTCTACGTCCCTTTCCTCTCCGAAAAAATTGATAGATTGTTTCTGGGTTTTAAAGTGTAACTATAAATTTTACGGCTGTATTTTATGTCCTCAACTCACAAAAATTCACACACAACATTACTTACGCTATATTCATACCTATTAAAAAGAATTGTATCTATGTGTGAGTCTATATAATATTTCATCAGTAGTATTTATTAAAGTGTATCTCAAGTTTTATTTCTATTTATGTGTCTACTTCTGCGACTACTACTACTACCACTATTTACAACTCACCCAACACAAATTTGTCTAACGGTGTCTAGAAAACCTTTCGGCCATAAAAAATATACATAGAGTAAAATTTTATATTTAGGTGTGAGAAATTTATGTCATTCAATAGTATTTCCGCTTTTTTGTGACCTTATCTCCCTCCTCCACAACAACCATATTAAAAGCAAGGGATTTTGTTTTATTAGTTTCAAAATTTTTTCTTTGCATATTTTTGGGGAAAGCAAATACAATAAAAGAAAATAAAATAAATAGACAACAGGCTTCTTCTTTTGAAACCATATTATTCTTAATAAATTGTAAAACATAAAATTTGAATCTATAAAAATTATTTACATATAAATAAAATGAAAAAAATAAAGGTATTTTTTATATATATTAAATGGTTATAAAATGAAATTTCTGGGTAATAAATTGTGTTATTTAATAGAAATTGTTTTATCAGTTTCAAGTTTTTCCATTTATATTTTAGGTTTGGAATAGAGCGGTTTAAATAGAATTGAAATTTACTATAAAATTATAAACATTTTATTAGATTTAATTAACTAAAGAGCTATAAGGTAGTTAAAATCGGTTGTAAACTTTTCGTGTCATAAACTTTTTCTCGATTTTATCTATTCAGGATCTACATCATATGCAAGGGAAATCGTTATAGAGAATCTATATTATAATTTCGCAAATGTGTTGACCTCTGTTGCCATCATATCCGAAACATTTAATAACTTCCGTGATAGCACAGATATACCTCTAAAAGCTATTGTTGTGATTAGGTTTCCGAGTTTTCAATATGGATCCACAGATCCATTTTGTCTTCCAGTTTAGAACCATCCATGTAAACCAAATTCCTGCAAGAGTTTTTTCCAGTGTTACTATTTAACACTATCCCATCTTAGACTAATGTGTCTCCGTTCTCGATAATTTATCTTTCCGGTATGTGAACCCAAGAAGAACCGATTGGTTTAAGTATAAGAGGATCCTAAACTTAAGAAAATATAAAAATGAGGAGAACTAGAGAAAAGTTTTTTAAGCAGAGTTTTCGAAATTTCTTGCCCAATCACAAATGCAAGGAAAATCTTCCCTCCCTGATGGAATTCGGAGCCATCTAAGCTACGTAAGGAATCACTATCACGAAGGCTATAGCAGTCGCACAAAAAGAACCTCATAAAGAAGCTTCTACTAATCCAATCTAGGCCAATCTAATCCAACCTTCATCGAAAGGAAAGACGATACATGGTCGAATCTCTTGATACCCTACTGGATACTCATTTCCCTCATGCTGTTATGGAAATCGCTATTGAAAGTAGGACTCTCATCTTCCATGACAGAATTTCATGGACGATTGATAGCTTTTCCCCATTCATGTCAGGAATATCATCCCTTGGCTTAATAGAATATTCTCGTTCTGCCTTTTTCTCAAGAAAAATTCTTGCTTAAGGCCAATCTAATCCAATCTTCATTAAAAGAAAGGACGGCACTTGGTCGGAATCATCGGCAAAATCTCGGAAATTGCTATTAAAAGCAGGACTTTATCGGAAATCAATGATATTCAGACACCACGACCAGATGGTATTTTGCCAAAGATGTTACAAAATGCAAAGGAACATATCATCCCTTGTTTTCATAAAATATTCATGCTCTTTCTCTCTTTCTCTCTCTCTCAACCATCAAAGGACAGTGCTAGACTATGGCAAAAGACCAATCTAGTCTAACTTTTATTAAAAGGAAGGACGACACTTGGCAGAATCTCTTGATGTTCTACTGAGTACTCATTTCCCTGGCTGCAAAGATCCTGTTACGGTAATGCCTATTGAAGTAAGACTCTACCGGGAATCAATAGGAAAATCATCTCCCATGACACGATATCATTTTCCCCATTCAAGTCACCAGGACCGGATGGTATTTTGCCAAAGATTTTATAAAGTGCAAAGTAATATATCTGCACCTGGCTTCGGAGAATATCCATTCTCTGCCTCCCTCTCTCAACCATGTTTCGGTCATTGGAGA